ATTTTGCAAGACGTGTATTCATTAATACAACGAAGTAATGACATGGCAGGGCACACATCTACGCACCTATGTTTATGTGTGTTTGTTTGTTTGTGTGTGTGATTTTGTTTGTGTTTAGTTGGTTGTGTGTGTTTGTTTTTGTTGTGTTTGTTTATTTTATTTGTTTGAGTGTTGTGTATGTGTGTGTATGTGTTTGAGTGTAGGTTTGTGTGTATGTGTGTGTTTTGGTTTGTTTTTGTGTATGTATATGTGCGTGTGTACGTACGTGTCTGTATGTTAGCGTGTATATGTGTCCCTGTATCTATGTTTGTGCTATAATGTGTATACAAGAGTGACCGAGGATAGAAGAGAGACATGCAAGGTGGATATATTAATAACAGAAATACGACAGGCGGCTCTGTTGATGAAATGAGACAAGTCACATCCGTCTTATCCTTGCTGACACAATCTCCTGTTGTGTGGCATTGTTGATTAATTCAATCACCTTTCTGTGTCACGTGTTCGCTCCTTTGCGAAAAGGAGAGAGAGACAGGGTGAGACAGAGAGTGAGAGAGAGAGAGACGAGAGAGAGAGAGAGTGTGTAAGTGAGTGAATGAGAGGGAGAGACAGACAGATAAACAGATAGACAGAGAGAGAGAGAGAGAGAGAGAGAGAGAGAGAGAGAGAGAGTAAAAGAGAACCCAAACAGAGGTAACCGAGAGAGGGAAGGAAATATATACCCGAACAAATCGTTCATTCGCGAAGGCCGTGAGTGAGTCTGAACTCCATGAGGAAAGGAACACGGCCTTATGAAGTGGTGATTATGAGGGGACACTTTTCCTCCTACTTTTCCTTTCTTTATTTTGAGGGAAGGTGAGTGAGGCGCGTGTATTGGGAGAGGGAGTGAAGCGAGATTTATTGGGAAACGAAATTTGGATCGGTTTATTTGGGAGATGAAGTGAGGATAATGAATGAGGTAAATTTCATTGAGGAAAGGAAGTGAGAATAGGTTCGTTTGGGAGGAAAAGGAGACGAGGCACGGCGAGGAAAGAGTCTATCGAAGAAAGTGAGTGAAGCAAACTTTCCTGAGAAAGGAGAGTGAGGCAAAGAGTGAGTTAAGGTGGAGAACCGGGCTTTATAGGGGGAGAACAGGTGCACTGACGAAAAAAAAAGAAGTGAAATCAATCTTACGGAGTTAAAGAAGCGAAACAAGATATATTGGATAAAGGAAGGAGATGCCAGATGTGCAACAGAGGTTCAACATGACGAAGTGAATCCAGGATTAGGAATACGAGGGCGTGTTGCTGTAACTTCATAGACGATGCAACTGTCTGGGAAGCCGAACTTAGGACCATGAAGCAAGTTGCATCATTTGGAGACGCTGCGGTTGTGGTTGTGGGCAGAAATGTGTGGAAATAAGAAGTAAATGGTTAAATAAGCAAATGAGAGAGAGAGAGAGAGAGAGAGAGAGAGAGAGAGAGCAAGAAAGTGAACGAACGAGCGAAAGATTGAGAGAGCGACAGACTGTTAAAAAGATATCATTGAAAAAAAAAATAGGGCGAATTAAAGAAGAAGAAAAAAAAAACAGAAAGAAAGAGAGAGAGTGAAAGACCGAATCACGTCAGGAAGAAGAAAGACCGCATTCTAGAAGAAATATGAGAGGCATGACTATCGATTTCTCATTTGTCGCCGCGAGAGTTTGTGAGGAAAAACAAAAAACCGGGAATGAGACCGGGAGGACAGGTAATGCAATGCGCACACGTGAGTCCTCAGAGCTAGACACGGAGACGTAAAGTAAAGAACGGGAAGGGTGGCAATGAGGGTTAAATGAAGGCGAAATAGATATGGAAATGATGGAGAAAGTAAATGAATCTCGCCGTAAATACATGTGTGTATACATACATACATACATTCATTCATACTTAAGTGTATACATACGTTTATACTTACGTACGTACGTACGTAATATATACATACCTACATACATGCATACATGTTTAAAGACATACGTACACATACATACGTACATACATATATAATACAAACATCCATACATGTTTTAACACAGATACATGCATACATACATACACACATACATACATGCTTATATACATACATACATACATACACACATATATACACAAATACACATATATACATGCATACATACATACACACATATATACACAAATACACATACATACATACATACAGACAGACAGACAGACAGACAGACAGACAGACATACAAACATACATACACACATACATACAAATATACAAACATACATACACACATACATACATAAATACATAAATAAAACTACATGGACATGAATACATAAACATACAACATCTAAGAAAGAAAATAACAAAAATAAAACCGAATAAAAAAAGAAGAAAAATATGCGAGAGAGAAATAGCCAGACAAATAAATAAACACATGAATAAATAAATACACACAAAAAACACAAACCCAGAAATAAACAATAAATAAAATAAACAGAACCAAAATAAACAGGGACTAAACTCAAGCAGAAACGGATCGCTAAAACAAGAGTGGGACTTGACAGGAAGTGGGAAAAGGCAGACAGGAGAGATAACAAGTGTCCTGCCGTATAAATTCATTCAAGGGAGGAGGAAGTAATATTTCGAAGGCCATGAGTGGCGAAATACTCATGGAAAAGTGTGTGCGCCATATTAAATGTAGACACGGACACTAAAAGCTTGGTGTGAGGGATCCATTAAGGGGGTAAAATTCATTCATACGGGTGAGATACATGGGTAATACACAATATACACAAATCGATACATGACAGTGGCGATAATACATAAACTACAACATCTGAAAATAACAATAGTTAAAAAAAGAAATAAATATGAAATAGCCAGTGAATAAATAAATACACACAAAAAAACACAAACCCAGAAATATTAACGGATCGTAAAACAAAAGACTGTAGATAACAAGCATTCTGTGGAGCATTGGTGGCCATATTAAATGTAGACACGGACATAAAAGGTGGATACCATAGGGGTAAACAATACGAGATTTTTTTTTTTCTCTCTCTCTATCTCTCATTCTTTTTTTTTTTTTTTTTTTCTGTCTCTCTGACTTTCTTTCTTGTCTTTCTCTCTCTGAACTTCTCTCTTTCTCTTCTTCCTCTCTCTCTCTCTCTCTCTCTCTCTCTCGCTCTCTCTCTCTCCTCACTCTCTCTCTCTCTCTTCTCCTTCTCTCTCTCTCTCTCTCTCTCTCTCTCTCTCTCTCTCTTTCTCTCTCTCTCCTCTTCTTTCTCTCTTTGATATTCTACATATTTGTATCTCTCTCTCTTTCTCCTTTTTTTCTCCCTCCCTCTTTACCCCCCCACTGCCTCTCTCTCTCTCTTCTTCTCTCTCTCCTCCCTCCTCTCCCTCTCTCTCCTCTCTCTCTCTCCTTCTCTCTCTCTCTCTCTCTCTCGCACGCTCGCTCGCTTTTTTCCTAAAAGTGCAAACATTCCTGAACTAGTAATCAAAGGCAACAAGGAAATATGAAAGAGTTATAAATTTGAAAGTGAAGAGCGGAGACTAGTTGTTAGTACGGTACATTGATATATATGTATAGGTTTGGAGGAAAGGAAGGGAGTACTTTGCGGAGACGGATGGGTGTACACGCGTCCATGCGGCTGAATATATAAGGAGTTGTTCACGTGAGGTTGAACAAAAGAGGAAAGCCGGTAGGAAAAATTCCCTTGCTTTTCCCCGTTTCTTCATTCTCCCATTCTTCCTCCTTCCTTTTCCTCCCTTCATTCTCCATCCTGTCTTCTCCTCCCTTTTTTCTCTCCTTCCTTCTCCTCCTCCCTTTATTCCCCCTCTTTCTCCTCACCTCCTTTCCACTTTTTCCACCTCCTTCCTTTAGTCCCCTTCCTTCTACTTCCTCACTTCAATCTCCCTTATTCCCCTTCCTTCCTTCTCTCCCCCTTCTTCCACCTCCTCCCTTCATCCTCCCTCCTTCCACCTACTCCCCTTAATCCTCTACCTTCCTCCTGCCTCCCCTACCCCTCCCTTCCCCCCTTCCCCCTTCTTAGCGATAGAAATAAGGAGAAATTCCCTACTATTCAACCCCAAGTTCCTCAAAGTAATTTAGGGAAACATCAAGGAAAAGAGAAATACTTACTTTAAGACGATGCCCGAGTGAAATTTGCCCACGTTAATTACATGAGCAGAAAACTCAACCCTCCTGTATCTTAACGCTAGACCTTCGCTTTGAACAAGTAGATCCAGATAATGAACATATATAAGGACGAACTCCCCAACTTGAAAGCGGGTTCTTCCTTATATGCGGTGTAGACTAACTAATAGAATAGGATCGGATACGGATAAGAGTATTTCCTTATTTGTATTAATGTAGAGCTGACGTCCCTGTATCGTAAAGCGCGAGGACTGTCTGTCGTATTTCTCCTTTGTCAAGCATTGCTGGTTGGTAAGCTATATATAATGCAAAGCGGAGCAGTCATAAACCATCGCATTCACTGCTTATTCCCAAGCTATTGCGATCGTAACTAAAGAAAAATATACATTACATACACACCATATATATTATATATATACATCATACATATGTATGATATATGTAATATATATATATATATTATATATATATACATATATATATATGTATATTAGTATATATATATATATTATATATATTAATATATATATATATATATATATTATATTATAATAATATTATATCTATATATTATTATATTATGCTGTGTGTGTTGTGTGTGTGTGTGTGTGTTTGTTTGTGTGTGTTGTGTGTGTTTTATACATATGTATATGTGTGTCTATGCATTCACGTATATATTACAACCCACGTGGCACACCCTGCGCAAGCCCGACTCCCGCCGCCGCCGCACAAAGAGCAGAGAAAGAAGCAAACACGATCGCGGAGGCCACGGGGCGCCGCGGCATAAACCAGACCCGAGGCTGCCTTAAATGCCGGAGGGAGAAGGGGAGAAAAAGTCTGGCGGCGCGAGCGGTTTATGACCTGCTGGAGTCCGGTCCTTGAGCCTCCTCGGGATAGCCTGTGATAGCCTCTCCTCCTGGTCCTCTCGGAGTCCTTGCCGGGATAGCCTGTGATAGCCTCTCCTCCTGGTCCTCTCGGAGTCCTCGCCAGGATAGCCTGTGATAGCCTCTCCTCCTGGTCCTCTCGGAGTCCTCGCCGGATAGCCTGTGATAGCCTCTCCTCCTGGTCCTCTCGGAGTCCTGATAGCCTCTCCTCCTGGTCCTCTCGGAGTCCTCGGATAGCCTCTCCTCCTGGTCCTCTCGGAGTCCTCGCCAGGATAGCCTGTGATAGCCTCTCCTCCTGGTCCTCTCGGAGTCCTCGCCAGGATAGCCTGTGATAGCCTCTCCTCCTGGTCCTCTCGGAGTCCTCGGATAGCCTGTGATAGCCTCTCCTCCTGGTCCTCTCGGAAGTCCTCGCCAGGATAGCCTGTGATAGCCTCTCCTCCTGGTCCTCTCGGAGTCCTCGCCAGGATAGCCTGTGATAGCCTTCTCCTCCTGGTCCCTCGGGGTCCTCGCCGGGGATACCTGTGATAGCCTCTCCTCCTGGTTCTCAGGTCCTCGCAGGATAGCCTCTGATCCTCCTCCTGGTCCTCTCGGAGTCCTCGCCAGGATAGCCTGTGATAGCCTCTCCTCCTGGTCCTCACGGAGTCCTCGCCGGGATAGCCTGTGATAGCCTCTCCTCCTGTCCTTCGGAGTCCTCGCCAGGATAGCTGTGATAGCCTCTCCTCCTGGTCTCTCGGGGTCCTCGCCAGGATAGCCTGTGATGCCTCTCCTCTCTCCTCTCGGGGTCCTCGCCAGGATAGCCTGTGATAGCCTCTCCTCCTGGTCCTCTCGGGGTCCTCGCCAGGATAGCCTGTGATAGCCTCTCCTCCTGTCCTCTCGGGGTCCTCGCCAGGATAGCCTGTGATAGCCTCTCCTCTGGTCCTCTCGGAGTCCTCCAGGATAGCCTGTGATAGCCTCTCCTCCTGGTCCTCTCGGGGTCCTCGCCAGGATTAGCCTGTGATAGCCTCTCCTCCTGGTCCTCTCGGGGTCCTCGCCAGGATAGCCTGTGTGATAGCCTCTCCTCCTGGTCCTCTCGGGTCCTCGCCAGGATAGCCTGTGATCCCTCTCTCCTGGTCCTCACGGATTCCTTCGCCAGGATAAGCTGTGACAAGCCTCTCCTCCTGGTCCTCTCGGAGTCCTCGCCGGGAACCTTGATAGCCTCTCCTCCTGGTCCTCACGGAGTCCTCGCCAGGATAGCCAATGTGACACGCACTCTCCTCAGATCCTGATTTCCTCTTGGAGTCCTCCACAGCGTAGCTTGTGAGTATAGGGCCTCTGCCTCCTGGTCCTCAAGAATGTCCTCTGCACAGGCATGCCTTGTTGATGAGCCTCTCCTGCCTGATCCTCTCGGAGTCCTCGCCAGTTCAGGATAGGCCTGTATAGTCTCTCCTCCTGCCGTCCTCACCTGAATCCGCGCCCAGCGATTAAGCCTGTGATCGCCTCTCCTCCCTGATCCTACTCGGAGTCCTTCGCCTTAGGATAGCCTGTGATAGGGCTGCTTTCCTCTGGTCCGCAAATGCCCTGAATCTCGCCAGGATAACCTGTATTAGCCTCTCCTCCTGATCCTCTCGGACGTCCATCCGCCAGTGATAGCCTGTGATAGCGCTCTCCTCCTGGGTCCTCTCGGAGCTCCTCGATCGCCGAAGATAGCCTTGTGATACGCCTCTCCTCTTCTGGTCCTCACGCCGATTCCTCGCCCAGGAATAGCCCTGTAATAAGCCTCTCCTCTCTGTCCTCTCGGAGTCCGCCCAACCCAGGATAGCCATGATAGCCTCTCCTCTGTGTCACCATTCACGGAATCCTCGCCAGATAGCCTGTACTAGTCTTTCTCCTCCTGGTTCCTCACGCGAGTCCTCGCTAAGGATAGCCTGTGATAGCCTCTCTCCTGGTCCTCACGGCAGGTCCTCCGCCAGATAGCCCATGATAGCCTTCTCTCCTGGTCCCTCACGGAATCCTCGCCCAGGATAAAAGCTATGATAGCCGCTCCTCCTGGATCTCTCGGGAGTTCACTCGCAGATAGCCTCGGATACCCTCTCCTCCTGGTCCGTCTCGGGCGCGTCCTCGCCAGAGGATAGTCCCTGTGATAGCCTACTCCTCCTGGTCCTCTCGGGCGAGTCCTCGCAGCTGATAGCCTGTGATAGCCTCTCCGTCCTGCCGGTCCTCGGCGTCCTCTATCTGGCCAGGATAAGTCCTGTGATAGCCTCTCCTCCTGCGTCCTCTCGTGGTCCTCGCCCAGATAGCCTCTGATTAGCCTCTCCTCCTGGTCCTCTCGGGGGGTCCTCAGCCAGGATAGCCTGTGATAGCCTCTCCTCCTGGTCCTCTCGGGCGTCCCGCACAGGAGAGCCTGTGATAACGCCTCTCGCTCCTGTTCCTCTCGGGGTCCTCGCCAGGATAAGCCTTCTGATATGCTCTCCTCCTGGTCCCTCGCGGAGATCCTCGCCAGGATCAGCCTCGTTTTATAGCCTCTCTCCTGGTACTCTCGGAGTCCCGCCAGGATAGCCTGTGATAGCCTCTCGTCATCCTGACGTCCTCACGGAAAGTCCTCGCTACAGGAATTAGCCTTACTATAGCCTCTCCTCCTGCGTCTCTCGGGCGTCCTCGCCAGGCGATAGCCTTCTGATAGCCTCTCCTCCTGCGTCCTCTCGTGGTCCTCGCCAGTAGCCTTTGACTAGCTCTCCTCCTGTCCTCTCGGGGTCCTCGCCAGGAAGCCTGTGATTAGCTTCTCCCGCTGGTCCTCTCGGGTCCTCGCCAGGATTAGCCTTTGATAGCCTCTCCTCCTGGTCCTCTCGGGTTCCTTCGCCAGGAATAGCCTGGCTGAAGCCTCTCCTCCCTAGGTCCCTCTTCGGGTACGGTCCTCGCCAGCGCATCAGCTCCGTGATAGCCCTTCTTGCTGCCGATTCCTCTCGGGGTCCTCGCGCAGATAGCCTCGATTAGCCTCTCCATCCTGGTCCTCTCGGGGTCCTGCGCCAGGGATAGCCTCTGATAGCCTCTCCTCGGTCCTCTACGGAGTCCTCGCCAGGATAGCCTTGATAGCCTTCTGCCTCCTGGTCCTCTCGTGGTTCCTCGCCAGGAGTAGCTGTGATAGCCTTCCTCCTTATGTCCTCTCCGGGGTCCTCAGCCATGCGAAGAGCCTAGTGTGATAGCCTCTCCTCCTGGGTCCTCTCTCAACTAATCTTCCGTACATCACATAATAAGTTGGGGGTCCTCGCAGGCAGAGCCTTGTGAAGCCGCTTTCCTCCTGGTCCTCTCGGACGTCCTCCCAGGATAGCCGTGGTGATAGCCTCTCCTCCATGGTCCTCTCGGGTCCTCGCCAGGATAGCCTGTGATAGCCTCTCCTTCCTAGGTCCGCTTCGGAAGGTCCTCGCCTATGGCAGAGCCTAAGTTGAAGCCTTCCTCCTTGGTCTCTCGGAGTCCTCGCCAAGGATAGCCTGTGATAGCCTCTTCCTCCTGCGTGCCTCTCGGAGTCCTCGGCCAGGATAGGCTGTGATAGCCTCTCCTCCTGGTCCTCTCGGGCGTCCTCGCCAGTGAGAGCCTGTGATAGCCTAACTACCTCACTGCCGTCCTCTTCGGATCCATCGCCAGGATAGCCTCTGATAGCCTTCTCCTTCCTGGTCCTCTCGGGTCCTCGCCAGGATAGCCTGTGATAGCCTCATCCTGCCTAGGTCCTCTCGGGGTCCTCGCCAGAGATAGCCTGTGATTGAGCCTCTCCTCGCTGCGTTCCTCTCGGGCCGGTCGCTCGCCACAGGATAGCCTCTGATAGCCTCTCCTCCTGTCCTTCTCGGGCCTCGTCCTCGCCTAGGAGTTAGCCTACTGAATAGCCTCTTCCTCCTGGTCCTCTCAGGCGTCCTCGCCCAGGATAAGCCTGTGGATAGCCTCTCTCCTGGTCCTCTCGGGGTGCCTCCGGCCAGATAGTCCTGATGATTAGCTCTCCCTCGCTGCCTCCTCTCGGCGTCGTCCTCTGCCAGGATAGCCTGTGATAGCCATCTCCCTCCGCGTCCTCACGGAGATCCTACGCGCAGGATAGCTGCTGATAGCCTCTCCTCCGGTAGTCCTCTCGGGGGTCCTCGCCAGGATACCTCTGATAGACCTTACTCCTCCTGGTCCTCTCGGGGGTCCTCGCCAGAGCGATAGCCTCTGATAGCCTCTCCTCCTGGTCCTCTCGGGGTCCTCGCCATCGGATAGCCTGCGTGATAGCCTCTCCTCCTCGCGTCTCACGGACATGCCTCGCCAGGATGAGGCCCTTGATAGCTTCTCCTCCTGCGTCCTCTCGGGTTCCTCAGCCGCGAGATAGCCTGTGATAGCCTCTCCTCTCTGGTCCTCTCCGGAGTCCCCGCCGGGGATTACCTCTGATAGAGCCTCTTCCTCCGGGTCCTCCTCGCGGCGGTCCTCGCCAGGATAGCCTCATGATAGCTTCTGCCTCCGGCTTGCGGGTGTCCTCGCCAGGATAGCGCTCTGATAGCCTCTTCCTCCTGCGCTCCTGCTCGGGGTTCCTCGCCAGTTGATAAGCCTCTGATAGCCTCTCCTCCTGCGTCCTCCTCTCGGGGTCCTCCCTAGAGATAGCCTGTGCATAGCCTCATCCTCCTGGTCCTCAGCGGCACATCCTCGCCCAGGCATAGGCCTGTTTGATGAGCCTCTCCTACCCCTGGTCCTCTCCTCCGCGATAACATTAATATTAGTCTTCTTACGACTAAAGCGGTCCTCGCCCAGACTAGCCTGTTGATACGGCTTCCTCCTCCTGGTCCTCTCGGACGCGTTCACTCGCCAGCGGCAGAATTACGCCTGTGATATAGCCTCTTCCTCCTGCGTTCCTCTCGGGGTCCTCGCCGGGATCATGACAGCCTTGTCTGATAGTCCTCTCCTCCTGTCCTCATCGGGAGGTCCTCGCCAGATAAGCCTGTGATAGCCTCTCCCTTCCTCCTGTCCTCTCGGGTCCCTACGGATCCCGGGATAGCCTTATGATAGCCTCATCCTCCTGGTCCATCTCTGTGTCCTCGCCAGCGAACTAGCCTGTGATACGCCTCTCCTTCCTGCGTTCCTGCTCGGGGTCCTCCCGGGAGCACAGATTAGCCATGTGATAGCCTCCCGTCCTGGTCCTCTCGGGCCGTCGACCTCGTCCAGAGATCAGCCTCTCGATAGCCTACCCGCCCTCCTCCGGGTCCTCTCGGGCGTCCTCGCCCAGGAAGCCTTTGTGATAAGCCTCTCCTTCCTTTGTCCTCACGGAAGTCCTCCGCCAGGATAGCCTGTGATAGCCTCTCCTCCTGGTCCTTCTCGGGGTTCATCACTCGCCAAGAGATAAGCTCTCCATGATAGGCCTCTCCCCGAGTCCTCTCGGGCCGGTCTCGCCAGAGAGGCGCTGTGATAGGCCTCTTCCTATCCCTGAGTCTCTCGGCAGGCGTCCTCGCGCAGGATAGAAGCCTGTGATAGCCTCTCCTCCTGGTCCTCTCGGGCGCTCCTCGCCAGGATAGCCTTGTGATAGCCTTCTCCTCCTAGTCCTCTCAGGAGTTCCTCCGCCCAGGGAATTAGCACTGTGATAGCCTCTCCTTCCTGGCGTCTCTCGGAAGTACCTCGCCAGGATAGCCTTAGTGATACCCTCCTCCTGGTCTCCTCGGGGTTCCTCGCCAGGATAGCCTGTATAGCCTCTCCTCGCTTGGTCCTCACGGGAGTCTCGCCAGGATAGCCTCTTGAGATAGCCTCTCCTCCTTGGTTACCTCTCGGAGTCCCGCCAGGATAGGCCTCTTGATAATGCCTCTCCTCCTGAATGTTCACTCTCGCGATTGTCCTCGCCGCGATAGCCTGTGATTAGCCTCTTCCTGCCTGCGTCCTCTCGGGTCCTCGCCGGCGATAGCCTGTGATAGCTCTTACCTCTCTTGTCTCTCGGGCCGTCCTTCGCCGGGGATAGCCCTGTGATAGCTTCTCTCCTGCGTCTCACGGAAGTCCTCGCCAGGATTTAGCCTGTGATAGCCTCCTCCTCCTGCTCCTCTCGGGGTCCTCGCCGGGGATAGCCTGTGATAGCTTCTCCTTCCTGGTCCTCATGGCAGTCCTCGCCAGGATAGCCTTGATAAGCTCTCCTCCTGGTCCTCTCGGGGTCCTCCGCCAGGGCCTGGGATAGCCTCCTCTGGCCTCCGGAGTTCCTCCCAGGGATAGCCCTAGCCTCTCCTTCGTCCTCTCGGGGTCCTCGCAGGAAAGCCTCTGATAGTCCTCCTGGTCCTCTCGGGGTCCTCGCCAGGAAGCCTGTGATAGCCTCTCCTCCTGCTCTGCTCGAGTCCTCGCCAGATAGCCTCTGATAGCCTCTTCCTCCTGCGTCCCTCTAGGGTACCTCTCCTCGCCAGGAAGCCTTTGTGCATAGCCTTCTCCGCCTGGTCCTCTCGGATCGCGTCTCTCAGGCCAGGATAGCCTGTGATAGCCTACTCCTCCTGTCCTCCTCGGAGTCCGCGCCGGAGATAGCCTTGGACAGCCTTGCTCCTCCTGGTCCTCTCGGAGTCCTCGCCCGCCGGATAGCCTCGTCGATAAGCCTCTCTCCTCCCTGTACCTCTCGGGGGTCCTCGCAGCGAGAGCCATGTGTGATAAGCCTCTCCTCCTGGTCCCTCTCGGAGTCCTCGCCCCGGATAGCCTGTGATAGCCTCTCCTCCTGGTCCTCTCGGGGTCCTCGCCAGGATAGCCTGTGATAGCCTCTCCTCCTGGTCCTCTCGGAGTCCTCGCCGGGATGGCCGTCGCTTGGGATTCCTGCTCAGATTTCCCTTTGTCCCTTTCTCCCCCTCGCTTTTTT